TATCCATGTCAAATGATCCATTTTTGAATTTTTATTATTATTATTATTATCATCATTTTTTTCCTAAAAAATGTGAAAGCAAGCTGATTGTTAAAATTAAATCCTTATTTTTATCAAGATAATTAATTAAAAAAAAATGTTTTATTGAGATATATTTGTAATTTATATCTTTAAATCTTGATTCTGGACAGTTCATCGATGATTGCATATATTAAATATTAAAAGGTTTATTTTCTATTACAGTAGTCTTTATTAAAGATTCCTAAATCAGTAATCTTTAGAATAAAATCTTCATCCATCTCCTCTCATAATGTAGTTCTTGAAACAGATCTATTAGAAAAGCAGAAAATAATACACAAAATAATAAAAAGGTAATTGTGTTTACATATAAACATTCAGATGTATTATATTGAATCATGTTATTAACATTTATACATTTTTCCTAATACATTAAAAATATATACTACTTTATTATAATAAATAGTGTTAAAGCAGGGTATCTTGAGTCCAAGATTTTAATCATCTGACCTGTTTATCAATTTTAGGTAGATTATCTAAATAAATAAATAAATAGTTGCTTGCCTAAAATATTTTATACTTTTTTTATTTGATACACAACATTCATCTCCATATGAACTTTCCCATTACACTCTAAAAAATGCTGGGTTATTTCAACCCAACTTTGGGTCAAATTTGGTCTAACACAACTTTTGGGTTACAAATGTAATGTCAAAATTGAACCCAACAGCTGGGTTAGTCCATATTTGACCCAAAGTTGGGTTGAAACAACCCAGCATTTTTTAGAGTGTAGTTATAATTAGCAGGTATTTTGCTGGTTGATGTGCTCTTTACACTTCAAACAATACTGAAATTACTCCTTGTAAATAAATAAATTACCTGATTGTTTATTTCTCTTCAGAATTGACTGTGTTTTCACTGTGTGATTTACAGTGGTTTTCTTAAACTCATCAGAGCCAGAACCGGAAAGATCATTCAATAACAACGACATTCATTTAGAGTTACAACCCTCTACAATACAACACTGGACATCTTATTTTAAATTATTATTATTATTAACTAACACATAATCTTCTTAGTCTAGGTTAAAAATAGTATATATAGAGAGAGTTGAAGTTAAGAGAGCTGATACTCTCCTACAGACAACAACAGAAAGCAGTGGACAAAGTGAAAGCAAACTGATTTATTGAATAGATATAGTTGTGCGTTTGTTGGCATTGAACAGGTGTTTTAACAGGTGTTAAGAGTGAGAATCAGCATTCTGACAGTGTCTCGAGTCTGTAGATGGAAACATCTCATCATCTCTCAGACAGATTTATGGAGACGATAACAGAGAAATACTCACAAATATAAATCAATAAGACACTACAGAGCCTTTACACAACACAACATTACACACTGACAACCCTAACCCAAACAGAGAAAGACTGAATTAAAAA